TAAAGGGTTCAAGACTTAAGCGGAGGAAGGAACTGCAGATCTGGCAGAAATAATAAGAGAACTAGAATTAGAAAAAATAAATAGAAGCAAATGAAAATGAAAACACAACAGTTCAGAACCTTTGGGATACAGCAAAGGTGGTCCTAAAAGGGAAATATGTAGCAATACAGGCCTTCCTCAAGAAACAAGGAAAGTCTCGGGGCGCCTGGGTGGCTCAGTGGGTTAAAGCCTCTGCCTTCGGCTCAGGTCATGATCCCAGGGTCCTGGGATCGAGCCCGCATCGGGCTCTCTGCTCAGCGGGGAGCCTGCTTCCTCCTCTCTCTCTGCCTGTCTCTCTACCTACTTGTGATCTCTATCTGTCAAATGAATAAATAAAAAAATCTTAAAAAAAAAAAAAAAAGAAACAAGGAAAGTCTCAAATACACAACTTAACCTTACACTTACAGGAGCTGGAAAAACAACATCCTCACTGGGGAAAAATTGAGAGCTTTTCCCCTAAGGTCAGTAATATGACAGGTTGCTCATTCTCACCACTGTCCAACATAGTACTGGAAGTCCAAGCATCAGCACTCAGACGACAACAACAACAACAAATAAAATAAAATGCATCCAAATCAGCAAAGAAGACAAACTTTCACTCTTCTCAGATGATGTGATACTCTGTGTAGAAAATCCAAAAGACTTCAGCAAAAAATTGCTAGAACTGATACAGGAATTCAGCAAAGTCACAGGATATAAAATCAATGCACAGAAATCAGTTGCATTTCAAATACACAAACAATGAGGAAGAAAAAAGGGAACTCAAGGAATCAATCCTGTTTACAATTGTGCCCCAAATCATAAGATACATAGGAAGAAACCTAACCAAAGACATAAAGGATCTGTACTCAGAAAACTATAGAACATTCATTAAAAAAAATTGAGGAAGACACAAAAAAATGGAAAAACATTCCATGCTCATGGATTGGAAGAACAAATATTGTTAAAAATGTCTGTGCTATCAATTATGTGGTGTAAAGATATAATATTTAACTTTTACTTAATGAAACATTCCTTCCTGGGGGAAAGGAAAAGAAGGAGAAATAACAAGGACCTTCTTGAGGCAGAAGAAAAATTTACCTTATCAAGGTGGTGAATTATAAGTGTAAGTAGCGCATAAACCATGGGTAGATATGGAAGAAATAAGAGTGGTTATTACTAAGAGCCTAGATGTTGAGGAATTTAAAAATAATCTGGTGAGATTTTAAATGCATAAAAAAGTCTATGCTTGAGATGCCTCTAAACACTTTTTTTCTTTACTCTTGTAATTCAAACATTTTAAAGTTGGCTTTATTAAGTAACAAACTATGCTTTATAAAAATATCCACAAAATATGAATTTTAGGTTAGTGCTTCACATTAGTGCTACATATTCAATGCAATCCCTATCAAAACATCTTCAGAGATGGAACAAACAATCCTAAAATTTGTATGGAACCAGAAAAGACCCCAAATAGACAAAGGAATGTTGAAAAAGAAAACCAAAGCTGGAGACATCACAATTTCAGATTTAAAACTATATTACAAAGCTATAATCATCACGTCAGTATGGTACTGGCACAAAAACAGACAGATATCAATAGAACAGAAAAAGGAATCCAGAAACAGACCCACAACTCTATGGTCAAGTAATCTTCAACATAGCAGGAAAGACTATCCAATGGAAAAAAGATAAATCTCTTCAACGAAAGTGTTGGAAAAATTGGACAGTCACATGCAAAAGAATGGACCACTTTCCTACACCATACAGAAAAATAAACTCAAAATGGGTGAAAGACCTAAATGTGAGACAGGAATCCATCAAAATCCTGGAGGAGAATGCAGATACCAACCTCTTTGACCTTGGCTGCAGCAACTTCTTGCAAGACACACCTCAAAGGGAAGACAAAGAGTGTTTTTAACAAATGGTACTGGAAATGTTGGTTATCTATATGCAAAAAATTGATGAATCTTTACGTGCTGCTTGTGATAGTGACTTTTATGTGTCAACTTGACTGCGTCATGGGTGTCCAGATATTTAGTTAAACATTATTTCTGAGTGTATCTATGAGGGTGTTTCTGGATGAGATTAGCATTTGAATTTGTAGGCTAAGTGGAACAAAATAGGTAGGCATCATCCAATCCACTGGAGGCCTGGATAGAAGAAGAGAAAATTCACTCTCTCGGTCTGACTTCTGAGCTAGGACATTGGCCATCTCCTGCCCTTTGGATGGGACTTATACCATCTGTGGTCACAGTTCTCAGGCCTCTGGACTGAGACTGAAACTATGCTTTCCTGAGCAAATGATGGGATTTTTCAGCCTTTATAACTATGTGATCCAGTTCCTTATAAGAAATCGTATGTATCCTGTTCATTTTGTTTATTTTGTTTCTCTGGAGAGTACAATACAGTACCATAGGGTATTATTTTGGAAATGCATATCAAAACTGTAATTGGATATCACTACATACTTATTAGGAAGGATACAATTAAGCTGACTGATCATATAAAGTATTGGCAAAAATGTGAAGGAACTGTAATTCTTGAGTTGAGTTTATTACTATTGGGAATATAAAATGATACAACTACTTTGACAAACAATTTGACCATTCCATGAAAAGTTAATCCTATACCTACTATGTCCATTTTACTCCTAGGTGTTTACTGAAGGGAAATGAAAACATATGGCTATACAAAGACTTGTGCATGGATGTTTATAGTAGATTTTATTTATTTATTTATTTATTTATTTATTTATTTATTTAGAGTGTGGGGGAGCAGTGTGGGGAGGGGCAGAGGGAGAGGGAGTGAGAGAAAATCTTAAAACAGGCTCTATAATAAGCACAAAGCCTGATATTGGGCTTTACCTTATGACTTTGAGATCAAGACCTGAACTGAAATCAAGAGTCAGATGCTTAACTGACCGAGACACATAGATGCCCCTATAGTAGCTTAATTTTTAATAACACAAAGTGGAAAACAGTCTAAATGTGTGGCAATAGGTGAATGGTTTAAAAAATGTTGTATATCCATACAATGGAATATATTTAGTAATAAAAATGAATGAATATTGATACACACAGCAACATAGATAAATCTCAAAATAATTGTTCAAAGTGAAAAAAAACTATATAAGAGAGAGTACATACTCTATGTTTCTATTTATATAAAATTATAAGAAGAAGTGCAAACTAATGTATATAAGTAACAGCCTACCAATGGTTGTCTGAGAGGGATGGGGAATGAGGAAGGGATTACATAAGGTCATAAGAATTCTTTTGGAATTAATGGATACATTCATTACTCTAATTATGTATATGGTTCATGATTGCATGCATATGTCAAAATATCTAATTGTACACTTTAGGTATGAGCTACGTATTATGTATCATCTATACCTCAATAAAGCTGCCAAACACACTAACACACAGTTACACAGTTTCTCTCTTAAACTATGTTGGAAGAGATTATTCAATTAAGCAAAAAGTAAAGTAAAAAGACTTGTTGGTAGTCTCACTCCGCCTTGAGAAAAAATTTTCCACAGTTTAGCATAGGGACCCCCTTAAGGCTGCAGGATATAAGAGGAAGAATACATGAATTGGACGATTTTGTTTCACTTTTTAAAAACAAGTTAGCATCATGAATGCTGGCAATTTCTTTCTCAAAACTGTGTTTAAAAAGGTAGCATTCAGGGGCGCCTGGGTGGCTCAGAGGGTTAAAGCCTCTGCCTTCTGCTCAGGTCGTGATCCCAGGGTCCTGGGATTGAGCCCCACATCGGGCTCTTTCCTTGGTGGGGAGCCTGCTTCCTCCTCTCTCTCTCTGCCTGCCTCTTTGCCTACTTGTGATCTCTCTCTGTCCAATAAACAAATAAAATCTTAAAAAAAAAAAAAAAGGTAGCATTCATGGACATCTTCCCCTGTTTATATTACACTCGCATATTATCTCAACCCATCCTACAAGTGCTCTTGTCATGACAACTTACATCCTATAATAATTAACCTTGGTAAATAATGGGAAGATAAAGATTTTTTGATGTGCTTTTTGAATCTTGGAAATTCCTAATATTTTATGAAAACCACATGTGGTTGTGTTTCAGATGACTCAAATCACTTTACAGACATTTGAAGTCTTTCTAGGCCCTTCCTATTCAACATCTAGTATCCCTTTACGAAAATCATGTTATTCCACATAAAGAGCAATATTCTGAATAGATGTTAATATAAAAGGACACAGAGATGGTGAACTTAAGTGGCAATTTTAAAACAGTTCCCAAATTCTTTGGAAGCACTTTCATTAGCAGATTCTATAGAGACAAAGCTAAAGATCATCGCTATTACTTTCATCTCTATACCTCCTCATCAGTGACCACTACAATTTGTTTCGCATATTTGCAAAACCCTTTCCTTACATGTGCCAATTCGACTAAATATTAAGGCAAGCAGAAGCCTGTAAAAAACTTGTATTTTATTTCCATTTCTCTCATTCCTCCTACCTTCCAGATATTCTTTTCCTTTCTCTAAATTTTATTTTTTTAAAGACAGTTATTATTCCATTCCTTCATGAAGCTCTCATATGGATGTGAAGTGAAAATTTTTGGTGTCTTAGTGGAACAAAGGGTTGGGTTGAGAAAGGCATGGTTTGCTCCTTGTCTTAGTGGGAAGGTTAATTGCTATCACCCTTCCTTCCTAGAATTTTGATGTAGACAATCTACATTTTATTCATTCTTATGAAAAATGTAGTGGTTCTACACACATAGTGATGGGGCTCTGTGATATGGAAGAAGTTGACAGTAGTGTGGGCCACACTGAGTAGGCAGACTGAGTTATCTGCCACACATCCCCTTCAAACCAGTTTCTTCAGAAATAGCATCATTGGCCAGATTCACATTAAAATGGTTAAATGTTTGTTTGTTTTTTAATGGTTAAGTTTTAACACAACCTTCTTTTTTATCTCACTCTTGAATTTGTCTTTTTCTTTTCCAGCTGCTGAAGGAATGGTGTGCAACCATCTGTGTTCAGGCGATGGCTGTTGGGGACCTGGCCCCGACCAGTGCCTGTCCTGTCGTCGTTTCAGCAGAGGAAGGAGCTGTATTGAGTCTTGTAACCTCTATGATGGGTAAGGCATCTTACAACATTGCCTTTACTTCCTAAACTTTGAGGTGCTGATTGGTACAGATTTTTAAATGATAAGAAAATGATAAAATTGCCGAATATGTGTGCTGGCTAGGTTTTTAAGGGAAGATCTTTTTGCATAAAGGGGACAACAACACATAGAGGAATTGTTTTAAGGGGAAAGAATTTTATTTGAAATAAGACAAGTCCAAATATATACTATTATGCAAACAAAAATTATACTGAAATAGATCATTCTTAATAAATTATAGCTGTGTATACTGAAGCAAAATTGAAAGACATATTCTTATTTTCCTTATGAAGATTATTACAAGTAATCTTTCCTCCCAGATGTCCCCATAATATTTTTTCACATACTTGCCTCTTAATTTTCATCTAGAATTACCGAATAACTTTTGATTTTTTTTCCATCCAACTTATGTCTATAAGAAACAAAGAATACATATTTCTATGTCTCTGACAACTGCTTAGCCCTATAGAAAAATTGGCTTTGTAGTTTCTAGTTGAAGGGGTTTTTGGTGGTGTTCTGCCACTTTCTAAAGATAACCTAAGCAGTATTTTAAATCAAGAATTTTAAATTCCTTCTGGTGCTATAATAATCACATTGCCAACGGTAAAACCTAGAATATATCTTGTTGCATGGCATTTCATGTACTCATAAAATCAGTTTATCATAACATACCATTTCATGCATCACAGTTGTCCTTCATTAGTGTGATAATACATTTTTTAGTACCGTTCCTGAGTCACATTTTCTTATATTGCTACTGAAAGGATTTTCAACAGTTCTGTAAAAGTGTAGTTTTGAGGTTCTTTACTTCGTTTCTTCTTTTACCTCATTTTATTTTTTTACAGATTCAAATGTTTATTGTTTTAAAATTATTTTTAAAGATGTCTTTTACAATGTCTTTTACAAGATCTCTTCTAACATGTCTTTTTGGGTACAATATTTTGTTATTTAAATGACCTCTAAGTGGCTAAAGTACATCATTAGTACTGATGTAGTGTTCAGTGTTCAGTGACTCATTATTTGCCTATCAACTCATTATTTGCATATCAACACCCAGTGCTCATCACAACACAAGCCCTCCTTAAAATTAGCAATTCTAAAGAGGGATCAAGCTCCAGAAACCAACTTCTCTAACAGCAACATCTTATAAACAATGAAAACCGGAAGAATGAAATGTTGACCCGTGCCATTTCAAGAGTCAAGCCAACACTAGAATTCAGGTCATCTGATTTCCATCCTGCGACTTTTCCAGATACTGTTATTTTCTCTTAATATTTCAGTTTTAACCTTCTCATAAATGTGAACTGGATAAAAACGTGGATGCATATACCATCCTCTGTCTCACATCTGCAAAATAAAAGCGAAGCAAAGGAAAAATACCTGTTTTCTAATTAAACAACACTGACTACCAAACTGTTTTTGAAAGTTCAACTTTTTCCAAGTCATTAGATCAAATGTACTAAAGATATATGAAGTTTTTAATGTCTTTTGCAGTAGCAGTAGGGCTCTAGGAAATCATGTTCAAGAGTTAGTTTAAAAGATAATAAATGAAACTACCTTGTAAAAGTCTGATGTAATTCTGGCCTATGCAATGATAGATTTTCCCACCTCCAATCTTGTGGTACCGACTACTTTTTTCCAACATTGCCCCACAGTTGAAACAGCCTTTGAGGAATAATGAATTAATCCTAACCTCATTACTCCATCATTTTAAATCTTGGATGAAAAAACCCAATTGTTCTAAACTTAGTTTTCTTATATGGAAAATGGGAATAATAATGGTGTCAAATTCATAGGATAACTATGGTTATTAAATGAGAAAATGCATAATAAAGGCTTGTTAAATTTTACCACTAAGATGATTATAATATTTTTTTTGTGTCTATTAATCTAAGCTGATTAGATGGTTAGGTAAAATAGTCACCTTAAAAATGCAGAAAACAAATACAAATAAGACAGTTACCAAAATCAGGGCACCTATATTTTTATAATTTTTATATGAAAAGAAATCCCCAAAGGAGGACTTTTTGAAGAGGAAAAGAAAATCAGTCATTTCCTGGCTGTTAGCATTCAAATCCAGGTCATAGAAGCCACTGTATTTAGCAACCCTTAACTACAGTGCACAAGCATCTAGAATGGAAGAGAAAAATTGCAACGCAATCTTAAAACTGTCTTATTTGGCAACGTGGTCAAACGCTTTTACAACTTCAAGCACAACATAGAAACATCAGAAAGAGTGCCGATCTAGACTCTTTGTAGGCGTTTTTATATTTAGTAATCACACCTCTCACTGAAACACAATTTTTTTTTCCCTTTTACAAAGGATATTTACAAAAGGAAGTCTAGAGATGTTAAGGGACTTCAGGCCTAGAAGTATTAGTGTTGGTGTTGAGAACACCGGTCAGATTTGGGAAGGACTTGACTCCAGAGCATTTACTCTGAATCACAGGATTGGCTGAGGTAACACACACAGCAGGACAGTGGGAAATGCAGAGTAGTGAAACGTGACAGAAAGCTCCATATGTAAAACTCAGCTCAGTAGACAGTGATTTGTTAGGTCAAACTCAGTGAGAGGGGATCTCTGGCAAAGTCGTAGTATAATCAGTAGTAAACAGGGAAGAAAAAGCAATGAGGGAGACACTGACAATGAAGAGCAAAAGTAATAAAAATCATAAGGATCAGTTTTGAGAGCAGAAAGGAAGGGAGCCCAAAGCTATACAAATAGAAGTCTAGTCTATAGAAGAAAAGACAGGTACGCTGTATCTCCAAGACTTTTTATGACATATTCACTTTATTCCTCAACTCTGTTTGTAGGAAGGGGTTTTCAAGAAGAGAAAGAAAAGCATGACCAATGTTTAAGTACCACAAAAATTATGACCTTCATTCAGTAACGTAACCCTTTAGCAATCCCAGAAACTATACTCAAAAAACAAACAAAGAAACAACAACAAAAAAAGAATTTGCTGATGATTGCAGGTTTTGCTGTGTTTTATAATTTCATTATAGAAATGATACTTTTGAATCTCTTCACAATTGACCTACCATCCCACATATATGACCCTCTTCCCACATATCAGGTCATTTTGACCTTTTTATTCTGAAGATTCCCTCTGTCAAGCCATGTATATAATTCATGTTGATAAAACATTGCAAAAGAACATCTGTTTCTATGTAATTGAGTTTTTAAACTCAAGAAAATTTGTAAGCAGCTTAATCCATCACAAACCTACACCTCACTTTAAAAATGCAAAATCCATGTAAATAAATATGTGCATTGATACCTAACTAAACCATCAATTTGTGCTATTTATTTTGAAAACCCAAACTTAATTATCTTGCCTTAGTGTATGTGTAGTTTTAATTTAACCAACAGAAAAATAACCCACCTTTTGGATTTCTATCATTTATTAAGGCTTTAACCTACAGAAAAATAACCCACCTTTTAGATTTCTATCATTTATTAAGGCTTTACAATAACCAAATAGGATAATTCACTATGAAAATAAGTGAACACTTCACTCTAGGGACAAGTAAATTTAAATTTATCACCTAATTAATCTATAATTGTCATATATGCAATGCTTTAAGTTTAGAATGATAGCTCATGTTATACAGACACAAAATAATCAGAAGCTATAAATATTTAGTCAAGTTTTATTAATGACATAACTGGCATTCTAAAATTATCTTTACCCTGTGCTTCATCCTCTTATACATTATTGGGAATGAGGTATTTAAACATATTGTACGTAAGTGATACCCAATTATTGAAATGGAAATTTTACAGTAGATATCGATTAGAAAACTATTGATAACATTTAATATTCATATAGCCACAATATGTAAGGTTGTGGGAAGGGATAACCATCATCCTAGGTTTTAATTAGAGAGTTTTAGAATGTTATCATTTAGCTATTTTTTATTTTATACTGTATAGAATTACTTCAAGAAGATCTTAAACTGAAAAAGATGTTGTGATATTAGATCAATAATCTAAGAATATAAAATCTGCCATAAAAAGATATTTTCTCTAATTCTCCAAGGCAGCTATTTTAAAAGAAGAAAAGAAATCAAAGCATTTTTTGAAGTTTCACCAAAAATAAATTGAAGAGACCTGGGATTTGAAGGACAGGGATGGGGAATATCATGTAACTTAGCAACAAGAAAAATACAATAGTTCTTTCAGAGTTTAAAAAATAAAACTCAACCGAGAGTAAAATTTTATATAGAGACAAACAGGCACAGCTTTACTTTAAAAAAGGTAAAAATGATTCTGTTGTGTCATCAGAGGATTCATTCTTTTCTTTTCTTTTCTTTCTTTCTTTCTTTCTTTCTTTCTTTCTTTCTTTCTTTCTTTCTTTCTTTCTTTCTTAAGACTGCTAGGATATCTCTCGCAAGAGAGAGGTTTTCTGAATGAGTCTATCGTTGAACCCAGTGGAGGGCAAGGAGAGCCATCTGGCTGCAGTTTATCTTTTCTCCTAATGGAGAACTTATTCCTTAATGCACAGGGAAATGAGTCTGATGCTCCTGGCACATAGAGAAACAGACTCTAGAATGTACTCTGCCAATAGGGCTTTTAGCAGATGTTACTTCATTTGTTAAGTTGACAGCTGGTTTGCTTATACCGCCTCACGCAGCTGATGTTTTCACAGGGAATTTCGAGAGTTTGAGAATGGCTCCATCTGTGTGGAGTGTGACCCCCAGTGTGAGAAGATGGAAGACGGCCTCCTCACCTGCCATGGACCGGTAAGCTTGAAGACATCTGTGGTTGTGTTGGCTTTCTTAGCTTCATGTGTGCATGTTATGTCATGGCTTTATCATTTATCCATCCATTCAACAGGTGTTTATAGCATGCAAGGGGGAATCGTGTTTGGTATTCTTCCCTCAAGAGGCTTATAGTTTAGTAGTAGATATGAAATATTTACAAATTCAATTTCTTAAGTATTTATATCCTAGATAATGTATTTAAAAAGTGGATATGGATATGCCCTTGAAAATTGCAGTGTTGAAAAGAAAAGAGAACTTCATTAGTAATTAGATTAAACCAAAATAATTGATAAGATATAAATATGTTTAAATTGTTATAGGAACACAAGTGAGAGATAAATTAATCTGTCTTTGGGATAGAAAGTAGGGCATCAAGGAAAGCCATAGAGAAGTGATGTTTGAGCTATGCTGTGAAGAAGAAGAATCTGGAAAAAGGAAACATGCAAAGATATGCAAATGTAAAAATTCATGGTGTTTAAGGTAAACGATAACACATTCATATCTGTATTTAATTATTTAACTGTTATGGCATTGTGAAGGATTTTGTGAAGGACAGAAGTGAGAAGGCAAACATTTATAAACTAAAATCTTAAACAGTGTGATAATACTATAGCAGAGAGAAAAACAGAGCCATGAGAATGGAAGAGAGGCTGTGGGATCAGGAAAGTCTTAATGGATAAGTTGGCATTTACATGTTTGAAGTTAGCCATATAGAGAAAATGGTAATTCTTTTTTAGACCTCCCTTTGGTTCCCATCATTCAGGCTTTTTCCCAATAATGAAGTCAATATGACTTTGTCATTCCAAAGTGTCATATTCATCCTTCTTTAGACAAATTTCCAGTTTTTTATGTATTGACTCATTTCTCAGTAGATTATTTGGGGACCAACATTTGGGTGTAGCTAAGAGCTTAGCATTACTCCATAAGAGTTTATATGCAATTTATATCGTACTAATTTTTCTACCAGAGTGCTTATTTAGCACTTAATTAGCTTAGGAAAAAAAATATCATTGAGCCTCCAAACTTCCATTAGGCCCCAATGAGCTGTTCTGGAACTTCATCTAAAGAAGGATGTGGAAAACTTGGACAGTTCAGAGGACTACCACAAGGATGATTAAGCTTGGAAAATCAGACCTCTGAGAAAAAGAAGTGGTGTGATTTGGCCTGAAGAACCAAAGTCTAAAAGACAATTTTATATGTAAATGATCTCCAAGTAAGTATGCAAAGGGTGTATTCGGCTATTTTCTGTCCCCACTAAGGATGTTAATGGAAAGTACAATTAATCTGCAGCATGAGAAATGTGGATGCTGGAAAAAATGACATGAAACACAGGGAAGTAAAAATCTGAAATGGGTTGTGTTAAAGCAAATCAAGTGATCTATATAAGACTTCTTTAAACACTAACATATTTAGGTACCAAAGTCAAAGAATAGAAAGCACTGTATCTTTCAGAGAGACTGAGACTTTAGAAAATGTGCAATTATAATCACAAGGCAGACTGCAAAACCAGTCTTGTGCTTTTTCTATTCCTCATGTTGCCTCCTATGGTATAAATGATGCTGGTAAATACTTAATTTATTAATTTATTTAAATTTGTATGTTTTCACAGTGCATTTATTCATTCTTTTGTTACTCAAAAGATTGAGACAGTTTATAAACTATACATTAAAAACCCTAATAGTTAATGTTTTTTAATCAATTTTCAAAATTATTTGCTAACTAAGAAAGAATGGAGAAACAGATTTTTAATGAACACATTTTGATTTTTTAATGACAGCATTGTTGAGCCAACAATCTACCTAGAATTACCACCCAAGGTTAACATTGTCAATTAATATGTGTAGAGCTTCAGAAAGGCAATAAGTCAAAAGTAGGAAAGGTTTAGTAAACCCTAATCATTCATTTGTGGAAGATCAGAACACAGAATCAAGAAAGCCTATTTGTCACTAGATCAATAAACCTTGAAATGCTAAGCAGGTAAGAACACAATTTTAGGTTATGGTGTCTGAGAAACAGGCAGGACCGAGCTCAAACAGTAGCCCAAACTGCTTTCACTAGGAGGTTGCTTGGCTTTCAGTTTTTACAATTTATGTTAGGTTTTTGCCTATATCTGGGTTCCATACTGATTATCACAACTAGAGACACAAGTGCTTTTGTGTGCCATATAACAGGCATCTATCATTTGAGATACCTAAGAAGTTCTGGAAAGTTTTCTGTGAGGGTGAAAATGTGATGAGACAGGGGAAAAGTCATAAAGCTGGTTGGGATTTCCAATTCCAATTAGTATGTTGGACTCACACTTTCCTGAGCTGTCCATATTTCCCCAAGAATAATTGATACACATGCATATTTGTCAAATGCTGTTACATCTGAAGCATACTATCACTTTTTCCATTTAAAATATAAAGAAACTGAACCTATAATAATTAGAAAGTTACATCAAAAAGCCAACAATGTATATGCTGTGGAGCTGGGACTCAACTATAGAAGTGCCTCCAAATTTTACATTCTATTCATTTCACTTCCTCCCTCCTCTGCCCCCATAGGCAACAATTCTGTGAATAATAAGGATAATATGTTTTCTGGGAACATAACAGCCACATGTAAAATGGGATGGTATTATACTATTGCAGTGTGACTGAAATCTAGGATAATCTTGGGAGGGCTAGCTTTGAAAGAAAGCAAGCCCCTGATTTTATATCCTTGTATGCCTGTACTTGGTATTTTTATTTTATTTTATTTTACTTTATTATTTTACTATTTTATTTTATTTTTATTTTACAACTTTATCCTTTCTGCCTTACTTTCTCTACTCCTGTGTGTGTTCCTATCAAGAAAGATAAGAAAAGACATGTGAGGAGAAAGACAAGTAAGGAAAATCTGACAGAGTTTTAGAAGATGAGAACATAAGCCAAAGAGGCAGCATGCAAAAGAAGAGATTGAGGAAGAGAATGATAAAACCTGAAATAGTTGTTAAAGTCAAGTTAGTAAAGGTTGTGCTGCTATAACAAATAACCCCATATTACAGTAGGTTATAGGAACATGTTTAAATCTTTTTCATGTAAAGTGCACTACATATCGCCCTCCTCCTTGTGATGGTCTAGTGTTCTGAGATGCTTTTATATTTATGGGATTTCCATGTCTGCATAGGATCCCTGCATCATGGCAACAGGGAAAGAGAAGGCTGGAGAGGTTAGCCCTGGCAGTCTCATAAATCGCTTCTACATAATTTCATTGTCTAAAACAAGACATACCTCACTTCTGGTGGGAGAAGAATTTCAGTCTTCCATGTAGCTAGAAGTGGAAGAGAACTGAATCCTGTTGAATAGTAGCATTGTCTCTCACAGTAGTTACCAGAGAAAATCATCAATTGTCACTGAGGGAAAAAAAAAATGTAATATTTCTATCAAGATTTAGCTTATCCTTTAGCTTTCTGGGTACCTAAGTGAGTCCAAAGGTATCTTAAAATCAGAGATAAGGAACAATATTGCCTTCACCTCTGGTTTTTTATCATTGTATTTATCGGTTCATTCACTGAACTTAGGTTCTTAAAAGCTTTGGGAATATAATGATAGAAGAGTAAGCATTAGACACACATATTTCTTTAAATCTATTTATTATGGAAATGAGTTGGAGAATCGTTACATTTCATTTCTTTTGGGATTTATCAGGACATTTTTTAGTTATGTCAACTTAGAACATTAGGTTTTGTATCGTGATAATACAATCAAATAGTAAGAGATGCTTAAAAACAAGGGAACGTATAAAACATATTTTTGAAGTATACTTGAACATTAAATGTGATTTTAATTTTAGTTTCATAGTATTTTGTGTCTTCTGATTTTACCTGGATATTATTTTACATCAGAAAAATTTTATAGGAAAATAATTCCTAATTTCTAATTTTGACTATAACTGCCTAATTTACTCATAGTTGGTTTTTATTCTTGTATTCTGTAAGAAGACATCAGCATGTCCCTTGTATTGTACAATAAGTCATGCCACTGAGCATACTTGCACAGTAAATGACTTTGTATAGTAGATGGCATTACATGCCTAAGTACCCATGAGCAGGTGTTAAAATTGGAAGCATGTAAAGTGTTCTTTTTTGGTAGGAAATAAGAAGTTACCAATAGCAAACTCTTCAGGTTGAATGGGGATTAGGTTTCATAGGATAATTTTCTTTTAGCTCTAAGTCTCACATCAAAATAGTGAAATAGGTGCCTGATTGAACCTCACCAGTCCCAGAATTTCCTGAAACCTCCTCCTGATTATTTTTTCTTCTTTATGCCACTGTTCTTCATTAGCAACCTCAATCTTTAAATTTTAAAATATTATATTTATTTATTTCCTGATGTCTTGTATCACCAACTTGCAATGTCTGACTGCTTTTGGATTAACATTTGTAGAGAGACTCTTGTGAGTGGATGCTCCCTGCCTAAAACATAGCTCTGTGAAATATTTGGTTATTTGTTGACTCCCAAATTCACAATTTATAATTATAAACCTAATAAAATTAATTATCTCCCTCTGTACTTACCGTAACTTATTTATCTAAATTGTGTTTAATGTGAACTATCATAATTGTCTAGCAATATGGACATACAGCTTTTGGGGAAGAAGTTCCAGAAAGTAGTCAAAGAAAAGAGGACCCTAAGACAATATGATGTTTTAAAGGGAGAACCAAAAGTCAACTTTAAGTAGGTAATATCATTATTTAAGATAGCTAAATATATAAATATATTGGCATCTTTTTATAAAAGATTTTATTTATTTATTTGACAGAGACAGAGAGAGATCACAAGTAGGCAGAGAGGCAGGCAGAGAGAGAGGGGGAAGCAGGCTCCCCGCTGAGCAGAGAGCCCGATGTGGGGCTCGATCCCAGGACCCTGAGATCATGACCTGAGCCAAAGGCAGAGGCTTAACCCACTGAGCCATCCAGGTGCCCCTATATTGGCATCTTTTAAGAAAATAGTATTTTAAATCAAAATATTCTCAATTTTCTTTGATTTGGTGGTAGACTACTTAACATTTCTTGCATGCTTACTATCCTCAGCACCAAATCCAAATTCATGTTTTTAAAATTCTTTAATGTTTATTTCTTTTTATTTTTTTTTAATATTTTATTTATTTATTTGACAGACAGAGATCACAAGTAGGCAGAGAAGCAGGCAGAGAGAGAGAGGGAGAAGCAGGCTTCCTGCTAAGCAGAGAGCCTGATGCGGGGCTCAATCCTAGGACCCTGGGATCATGACCTGAGTTGAAGGCAGAGGCTTTAACCCACTGAGCCACCCAGGCACCCCATAAAATTATTTTATGTTTAATATGAGTTTTAAATTTTACTTTTTAAATAACATTTAAACATACTTGTATATTATTATTGCTTATTACCATTCTGCATATTAGAAAATAATTGTATATTATCAACATAAATATACAAAGTAGTTAGTTCTATTTAAATTTATTATGCTCTTATTTTTATCACCTTTATTATTGGATAAGTTTCTCCAGATAATTTTCTTTGGCATGCACCTACTTCATTATTTTGGGCTTTTGATATTTGTTCATCAGAATGTGTCTTTATTGTGTTCTCAGTATTGAACTGTGATTTACTAAAATCCCTATAAATAGACATGTGAGTTTTAGCATTATCACAAGCTGATTTGAGATGAAATTTATTTGCCTGAACTAATTACTAATAATTCAATCACAGTACATTTTAAAATTCGTTGTTTGAATAATCATAGACAACCAAAGGAAAGTTTACATCTCACTTTTACTTTGAAACGCTGCAATAGTGACATCCCCATTTGTAGTTTCGGAAACGCTCTCCGGTTCCGTAGGGGAAGATTGACCACTCACTGAAGTCTCAGGAACTAAACCACGTGAACACTAGAGGAAACAAGATCCATTTTTCTTCCTCCATTGTTTTGTTTTTCACACTTCAGGGACCTGACAACTGCACAAAGTGCTCCCATTTTAAGGATGGCCCGAACTGTGTGGAAAAATGTCCAGATGGTTTACAGGGGACAAACAGTTTCATTTTCAAGTATGCTGATCAGGATCGGGAGTGTCACCCATGTCATCCAAACTGCACCCAAGGGTAAGCATCCTTGCTGGCCAAGGACTTCATCACACAGTATCTTTATCCTTGACATAGTCTACTAAATATATACTATTTCCTTATATAACTCTATTCATCTATATGTTAATATGTTTTATGATAATATGTAAATATGATTTAAAGAGGAATACCTTCTAAGAAAATGGTTTATGCAATCAAATGTATACCCTTTCAGATATTTCTTTTAAACACTTAGCTAAATGCATTTTGTTGACACCTTTATGCAGCTGATGGCAAGTATACTTTGCATGGAATGTGGAAATTCTTCCAAATTTTACTTGATTTTGAAGATATCTTAGAAAAGACAAGATAGTCATCAGACTTTTGAGATTTGTGCTTCATATATCTTTAGCAGAAACTTCCTGTTTATCTTTCTTTGTTCTTATAACCAGCTGAAGGTGAGGATAGCTCTCTTTGCTAAATACTGCCTTGAATTACTCCTTCAACAAAATATATGCAAAATAATGATAACAGGATAAAAAAGGTGTATGTGCGTGGGGAGAACTTAGTGATATGTGTATCAATAAAATCACAAATACATTTTGGGAAAGTAATTTTATGGCAGGTTAACCTATAATTTAGAATTTCTTTGACGTTATAGGACAACTCAAAGATGGGTACATAGTTTTCTATTGTTTCAAAAGGATGCATTATAAAATGAATAATAATTAGGTTACCTTTGATACTGATAGCAGTTGAAAAACAAAGACATATTACAGAAAGAAGAAAAGCACTGAACTGAAAGAAATAATGTGACTCATCTAACATATTCCAACACCTAATTTTTTAAAAGACAACAAATCTATTTTAGTAAGGGCTTTTCTTTTTCTTTCCTCCAGAACGTGACTAATTTCAGACTTGAGGACAATTTAACATACTCTATTCTTCTGTCCATAAATCCTCTTCTCCCTTATAAGTGCCCACACACAAGTGCACACACCCACATACAGATACAGACACTGGTTGTTGAGAATCATCTCGGGTACTTTATATCTGGCAGCAAAGTATGAGATTCCATAAAGAGATTTTCTGCCAGATTAAGAGCTAGCTGCTAGGGGATATTGAAGAAGTTAAGAAAGCAACATCATTTTCTGCCAAGAGGACATCAATTTGCAGATGCTGCTACAATTTCCTACAGGTCAAGAAATCAGCTTACGTCACTCTGTGAAGTGGCAGGTCCTCAAAAGGTAAAGTAATATTCTGTCATTCAAATTCAAATGCAGCTTGGAAGAGCTAATGCCAGCTCATTGGTTTACACCTACGCGCATCGACTGAGCATACTGAAATAGTCACATAGACACTTTGCTTCAGGGAAACTAGAAGGAATAAACTTCTCCCCTTGCGAGTTTTTGGTACACTTGGGTTAAGAGTATTTCATGAAGAAACAACTGGCACCCCTGGAGCAGAAGAGTCAGCAACAGAAAGAGAAAACTTTGCCTGTTAAAATAATCATCCACAGGAGGGTTTTATTGTTTTGCAGCTAAAATTAAACCAGTAAATTATTCAATATAATGTTGATGTCAACAGCTGTTGCCATTCAAAATGAGACCTTTTGCTATTTTTGCAAATCTAATTACAAGGAAGCCATTAGGGAAATGAAAGTGAGATCACAGAGCCATAGTCTGGGTGTATGGCTGGTGTGTCTTCCTCTCAGCCCTTTTAAATCATGATTATGTAATAAAAGAACATATATATAGTGGGGGAATGTAGAAGTCGGGACAATGAAGAGATCAATTTACCACAGCAACAAAAACCAAATGTCAGCTAAAAAGGGAGGATGAAGGTATAAAGGGAACAAATCCAACCAGATCATTTAGGAACTCCAAAATGTCTTTGAATCAACTGTTGTAGAATGATGGTGAAACAGAATTTGAATGTTGTATTCCCTGGTATCTTCCAAGGTAAATGGATTCTGGGATGACTGATTTAGCCCTGAAAATTCTTGTATTTGTTTTCATTTAGCCTCCTGCCATCCTTTTCCTAATATCCTCCATATTGTCCAAGTTCACTCACTTCATGAAAGTTTTGTGGTCCCAACCTCAGAAATCCTAAATTCCTGAATCCCACTCTACACTACTGCTGTCCACCACTGTGCCTTGAGATCCTTTAGTGAAGCAATGAGGTGCTCTGTGAAAATAGTCCCTTCTCTTCAAATTGCATGTAGAGATAAGATCTTTCCCTAGAAAGATCAAAGGGACAATGAAGATGATGTAACAAATGACTATTTTTAATCCTAAACATATGTACTAATTGACCTATGGATGAGTGTGAGCTCACCATGCCAATTTTGGAAAACAGATTTTCTTTTATATGTCGATATTATGTCAGCTGGATAATTCAAGAACGATGTTAATGGAAATAGTCTCTTAAGTCACATTTTTTTTAAGAAGGAAAGTTCTTACTTTGAATACTGTTCAATGATTTTCTGAAAATAAAATTATGTGTGTAATACCTTAAAAGCACTTTTATTACTCTGAAAGTACATTAAATATATTGGCTCTAATAAGTGCTTTAGTTACTTTAAAATAGGTTATCCATTTCTTACCTATCAGGAGATTCTCATTAATATCACTAAAGAGGTGGTGGTCAGGGGGTGGGGAGTCAGCTAACAATGTCTCTTCCCTTCCTTAACTAGAGGACTTTTATTTTGGCAGCCTTTTCTGATTTCATTCTTCAGCTTGGTTATATTGAACACCTCTTGTGTATGAGATATAGTGATAGCTAAGTTCAGAAATGAGTAAGACACAGCTCTTGACCACTAGTGAGTCATGGTTCAGTGAGTTTTCTATCTTACAATTCGTATCTTAACATCGGACACACTTCCCCATATTTTAAAATGATGAGCAAGCATTTAAAACTTAAGAATGACCTTCATATTTGAAATTAGCAAGATAGAAATTTTTAAAAAAGACTTGTGAACTAAATTTAGTAGGTAATTTAATTTCTATAATGGCAATTGCTACATTTTCTACACTAACATCATTGAGTCTGTGGTAAATACCAATTTAACTTTGGTTTTGGACTGGGAAATTTATTTTTCATTAGGTATCTTTGAAAATTTGCATTGAATATGTTTCTTAATATTAGAATCATGGTTTCATATTATTAAATTCCTTATATGCCTTAATCTTTCTTATCAACCCTTTTTATATTTTTAATTCATATACTGAAAAATTTTCACTAATAGAAGGAAAGAAGAGTGAAATTTTTGTCTAAACTCTTTTAATTGAAATTTTAAAATATTCCTCCATTACAAAATTTTAAAATATTCCTCCATTTCAAAATTCCAAAGAAATAAGATTTTGTTAAAATATCTCAACTATGTTAGATATATGAGTACATCAAAGCACTTATAAATCAGTAAATAATGGCAAATGTTCAACACATCTTGGTGTTCAGAATTCCAGATATTTTTACTGACATGTTACGGTTTCTGATTTTCCTGTAAAGTTTTTACTTTGTACCACTGATTTTGTAGAGTGTTGCATATTCCTTATCCTTTTTTGATCTCATATTTCGGATTTCGACTCTTCAAAAGTTTAATGTTTACATTATTCTGTGATCTTGCTGAATCAATATAAATTGCAAGTGATAGTTAATAAAGCTCTAAATAAAGTCAAAATAGTTGAAATAGAGTACACATCTTTAAATAGATACTTGTATTTAGAAAAGATGGGGCCGCTTCAGCCTTACCCTTATTCTTTGTCTTCCATTTTTTCTTTCATCTTCAGCTTGTAAATATGTTTAAATCTCAAATATCCTACACAATCCACTCAACGAACTTTCCTGACCCTACATCCTGCCCCCCCTCAGTACTCACCTCCCTTTTTCCTTGCCTCTATTCTCTTTTGTCCAATTTGTTTCTTGACTCACAGGAGCCGGAATTCTGGTGACCTCAACAATGACAACTAAAATGTTCTCAGTGGTTCTTATTTGATGAGACCTCTCTTTGCATTTGACGTTGACAATTACCCCATTTTCTGAAGTCTCTCATGATTTGGCTCCCACAATGCTGCAATCATCTGATTTCATACTCAATTATTTTCTCATGCTTTTGGCATAGGAGGTTATCTTAGGTCACTTATTGGTTATTGGAGTTCCTTGGGTTTCAGTCTCAGGCTCCTCTTTCCTCACTTTATAGATCTTTCTTCAGCTATCTTTATCACCATTGATCATTGCCCCACCACCACAGACCCCTTTTTCCAGTTGGCAAGGAACATTTTCTTACCCAAAGGCAGGACAACCACACTAGATACATAAAACTGAAATTATCAACCCCTCTTCCTCCAACACACACGTGCGCGCGTGCACACACACACACACACACACACACACACACAGAAAGTTGTTCCTCCTCTTGGCTTCTCTCTCTGATGGTATTACTACTCTCATAGATGAACATTTGAGTCATGTTTAATTCCTCTGACTCTTCCTCTTCTAACATCAGATCAGCCATCAGCTTCTCTTTTTCCCTCTATACTTTTCAAGGTTATTTCTTGAATCTGCCCCCCCACCTCTGTCCTAGTTGCCATTTCCCAAGTTTAATCCTGATCCCACCTGACTAGCCTTCACAGGGCAGAGGTCCATGTAAAACACAAGTGCAGTAAATCCATTACTTCTTTAAAACCCTGCAGCGGTTCTCCATTAAGTTTGCCCCTAAAGCAAATAGCCTTCAAATTCTGACTCCGGTCTAATGATCTCGCTTCTTTTACCTCTCCCTGTTGCCTCATGTTTTGCTCCCTGACTATTCAGAATTATGAGCACTCTACATTGCCTCAGATATATGCTTTTATTCCTGCTGTTCCTTACCCCTTAGAAATCACTTCTATTCTAACTCTGGTTCTCGGCACCCTGAACTTCAGCATCCTGTCTTCTCCATGAGGATTACCACGAATTTCTGAAGCCAAGCATCCCTCTGCTATGCTCCCTTAAGCCACTCTTTCATGTCTCTTATTAAATTTATCACATTATATAATATACATCTGGTTATGCATCTGTCTCCTTCATTAAATTGTGAGCTCATTAAGAGCAGGAAAACTGTCTAATTCATCTTTTTTTTTTTTCCCCTCCAGCTCCTAGAAGAGTAGCAACACTTAGTAGGCATGCAAACAGTTATTTTTTTTTAATGGATGAATAAAGATCTTTCATTATTCACACTTTCCCCTCAAGTTGAATTTCACTTTCAAATATTTTATCTTTCAAAGTTTATTATAAACACACAGACTGTAAACTAATAGCTTTTCAGTGTATATCTACTTGGAAATAAGAAGTAGACTAATAATATTACAAAATGGCAATACTGTATAAAAAAGCATTTTGAAGAAGATATAATTGGGACCTAGAAAAAATAATTTCTTCAGAATAAAATAAATAGGAAACAATATAAGACAATTTGGAAATATTTTTAGTAGTTACTTTTTCCATTTTAAAAATGGTTTCGGTTATGGATTATAATATTAATTCAATGCTATGTGCTATAAATTTTTATTTTTATTTCCCACTTGCTTTTTTAAAATACTTTTTTCATGGTGTGTTCTCTATATTTCTGTATATTGAATTTTTTTTCTGGAGAGTTCAAAACCCATCCTCAAAAAGAAAACATCTTCCTACCTAGTACTGATGTTATAGCAGATCTTCGTGAAGCAAGGAAACAGTGACTTAATTATTATTATACATAGTTATATTAGCTCACCAATGTTAAGAGTTATCTAAAGATATAATGGGCAGTCTGGCCTTATACACAAGCATCTTATTATTTCATTATATGGTGATTTTAACTTCAGCTTCTTTTTCAGTTTTAGAATTAGAGTTTGGGAAAAAATTGTGATCAGCAGAATGAGACAGTTCTGTAAATCATAGTTGTAGAGGGAATCTTGATAATGCACTGGAGCTACATGTATTTGATGAGAGAGAAGGGAAAGAAATCCAATTTAAGTCCATTGGAAGATGGGAGAAGCAATATTTCCATAATACTTCAAAATGCAATTCTAGGGACTATACATTAGGATTTTGTGTACTTTTATGATTCCACTAAATGTTGATCTCAGTAAATTCTTTACTGACCTGGTTCTTAGTGTATTCATTTCCTTAGAGACTATTTATTTATTTGTTATTGTTTCAGTTAAATATGATGGCAGTTTAAAAACCCATTTCTGTTTGTCTGCTCTTTTAAAAGAGAGTGTCAAGATAAACTGGAATGTGGTGAAACCAGTTAATTTGCTTTTTAAATGAATACATGTTTACAGATAAATATGTTTTAAAAACAGTCACAACCAAGGAATGGAATAATGTGATTATGTAAAGTATCCATAAGAATAGCATTAAAACATGTTAACTCATTTTCTGCCGTAATCAATCTTTAATGAGCATTAACATCAGGTTATTATATTATACTGAATAGCTCGTTTCCTTTTATATTGATTTTAGTTTTACTTAAGCTTAAGTCCTTTTAAGAAGAAGCTGTATACATGAAACCAGTTATAGCTTTTGAAATATCAAGTTATTTAGCAAGACATATACTCATGAATGATGCAAATGAATTAAAGGTATTAGAAGTGAGTTATATGGGTTTGGAAGTTATCCACAGAAACAGGGTACAATTTTCTTTACTGTGGACATGTTTCTTTGCATTCCATTAGGTGGTATTGGCAACTTACTTCTCTGTATCCATCAAGCAATAATCTTCTCACTGGCTTTAAATTCAGAGTGTTCCAAAATTGTCTAAAAACCATTATTAAGAATTTGAAACAATTAGGTTTATCTTAGTGATTCTTTTTTAAAAATGACTAATTTTTCTTTCCTTGTATTTTTTAAATTTGGATCTTCTGCAGGTGCATAGGCTCAAGTATTGAAGACTGCATCGGCCTGATGGATAGGTACTTGGTGTGCTTGCTTCCCATGTTCTTCCTCCAAGGCTCCTTGTGTGAGCACTGGTGCATGTGTGTGCATGCTACTGTGAATGGAGAATGATGTTTTCTGTTCTGTAATTGCCTGCAGGTGTAGCGGTCCCACTAGTCATGACTGCATTTATTATCCTTGGACGGGCCATTCCACTTTACCACAACATGCTAGGTAACATCCACCATGTTTCCATTTTGTCACTCCAATCCTTTCCAAATTATCATGGATAAAAAATACTAACCGGTTGGGTGAAATTTATAATATGTTAAATTAGGGAGTTATGAAATAAGCATATACAATGCTACTTTTCAAACCACATTCCTTAACCCTCTTTTCTTTATTTGTTATACTTTTAGAATCCAAATCAGTAGTGTCTTTGAATTTTAACTTTATACAATTTAAATAGGATTTTGATTTACTAATCTAGAATTTTAATAGAACATTTCTTATTAATTTTGTGATTACTGCAAAAAGAAATATTTTTAAGAGAGGAATTTGTGAAAGTTGATCTATTTTTGTAAGCTGTTTCTTGTTTGATTTGATTCATTTTCTGATTTTATATTATTTTGAGCTGGTTGGTATATTCTCTAGGCGTCAGAATTACCATAGACTAAAGGCACTATAGGAAATACTTTGTGCAGTTGAAAGTACAATTTGGAATTAAGAAAAAACAAAATCTATCACTCAGATTCATAAAAAACCTATGCATGAATGTTTATACCGTCTTCATTCAAAATCACCAAACCTAGAAACTATCCAATGTTCTTCGATTGTGATATAGCCAAAGCTATATCACATATAGCCAAAGCTATAATGCTATTCAGCAATAGAAAGAAAGAAACCAATGACATATGCAAAACATGAATGGATCTCAAATGCATTATGCTAAGTAAAAGAAACTGACTTGAAGGAATACATACCATATGATTCCATTTGTATAGCATTCTGAAAAAGGCAAAACTGTAGAAACAGGAAATTGGTCAGTGTTGCCAGTGGCAGTGTTGCAATGGACATGAGGGAATTTGGGGCACTGATGGAATTATTCTATATCTTGACAGTGGTGATGGGTACACAAATGTATGTGCTTGTCAAGTATCATGGTTCAGTACATTAAAAGGATGAATTTTGGTGTCTATGATTTATATCTCAATAAATATGACTTTTAAAACATATTTAGAAAAAGAGTAACTTTACAATGTTATGTAGAAATATTGTTTGCTTTCCTTTTCTTTAAGACTATTTATTTATTTGGGGCACCTGGGTGGCTCAGTGGGTTAAGCCTCTGTCTTCGGCTCAGGTCATGATCCCAGGGTCCTGGGATCAAGCCCCACATCGGGCTCTCTGCTCTCCAGGGAGCCTGCTTCCCTCTCTCTCTCTCTGCCTGCCTCTCTGCCTACTTGTGATCTCTGCCAAATAAATAAACAAAATCTTAAAAAAAAGAAAAAGACTATATATTTGAGAGAGAAAATGCATGCGCACGAACTTAAGTAGGGGAGGAGTAGAGGTAGAGGGAAAGAGAGAATCTCAAGCAAACTTCCTATTAAGGATGAAGCCCAATGCAGGGCTAAATCTCATAATCCTGAGATCATGACCTGAGCAGAAGGCAGATGTTTAACTGACTGAACCAACCAGGTGCTCCTTGTTTACTTTCTTTATGAAGCAAATTAGTCCTATCTTTTGGAAAAGAGAAAGTAGTGCTAAATTACAAATAGCAGAATGACAGCTTGGGATAAAGTATTCCTTTTTGATGTAATTTTTTAATTCAAATTTAACATATATAGTGTAAAAGGACACAAAATAAAGGTATAAAACTCAGTGAATTTCTCTACATGACACATTTATGTAACCATCAGCCAGATCAAGAAACAGAATAGCACCAGAGACAGAAACACTCTCGTGCCCCATTCCAAGGGTAACTATTGTCCTGAATGCTAACACCAATTTGCCTGTTTTTGTACTTCATGTAAATTGAATCATACATGTCTATTCTTTGTATCTGGCCTCTTTTGCTAAACATTGTAATTATGAGGTTCATCTGTGTCATTAAATTTAGTCACATTTTTTCATTTATATGATATTTAGCCTTTAAAAATTTTTAGAATAATCAAATAAGTGATATGTCTTATTAACAGGTCGTTTAAATTCTTTTTCAAAAGGGTGCTGTAGACATAAATGATTTATACAACAGTGGCACTTTGGCATTTGGGATCAACTCAGACTAGTTAATACAGTTATTTAGAGCAAGATTTAAAATTATGGAAAAAATTGGCTAAAGAGAGAGAAAGAGAAAGAGTGCCTAAGGCCCAAAGTTCAGTTTTATAAACCAAGATACATTTTAGATTGTTCCTGTATTTATAAAATAATTTTCCTCCCTGAGACTTTGGTGAAGTCACTGTAATATCATTTTGAAGAGTGTTTCCACATTTGATTTAATGACTTTCTTATAATTATTCCAGCCAACTAAGGAGAGGCATTATAACGTGGTGATTGAGTGGTGATTAATCTTTGGAATCAGCTTTTCTAGGTCCAAAGCAAGGTTCTATCATTTTTAGATATTTAACCTTGGGTAAGTGCCTTCAATTATCTGAGACTTACTTTCTTCATATATAAAATAGGAATCTTAATATAGTTTATAAATTGGTTGTGAGGATTGGTTGAGTCCACAGAATAGTGTCTTCCCCAGATAAATCACAGTAAATGTGGTTTATTATTTTGCTATAGAACAAAGATTTTAAATGTTGGGGATGGGGGAACATAACTCCTAGAGGGAAGGGAAAAATCTCTCAGTCACTCTACCCCTTATGGCGGGTCCCTTGATGGAAGGAAGGATATTTCTTTCTTCATCTTAAGAATCACTGCCCTAAGGAGGGCCACTGGTTTGGACGGCAGCGTGTCATAGGTAGAGACATATGCAGAGACAGAGAAAGGGTTAAAACCATAGTAGTAGATCACTAGTGGTTTTCAATGCTCAAAATCATAGTGTATCTTATTATACATTTAATATTTTCAACACTTAAACAAAAGTAGCTTGGGAATTTTCAATCCTATCTTGCCTAGGTTCTTAGGCCATTTCCTATAGTCTCAGATTAACACCTAATTCAGATTAGCTTTGTCACAATTTGGTAACCACGTCTGGTAACAGAGTATAGATAATATAATTCAACCCATCACTCGTAGGAAATTTCACCTGTAGTCCTTTGTACAGGTAAAGAGCAGAAGTTTTTGAATTTGAAGGACTGGGTTCAGGTATTTCCACTACCATATTTCTTATCTGTATAATGGGGATGATAATGGTAATTTTTAAAATGGAAAGTCTTATACCTCATATGATTGGTATGAGGATTAAATGTACAGGAGCTCTTATCTAAATATGCGTTCATTGGTGGTAGTCACGTGTCTAGTTGAAATATTGGGAATGTAATCTTTTTGGAAGTCTCATGAGGTTATGTTCTACTGGTATTTTATTATCAGTAGGGCATAAATCCAGTAGTTCAGTAACTAAAAAATTGACATATCAAAATTTCTCAGCTTTTAAGCATTTAAATTTTGTATCACACTTCTAAGTATAATGATTTCAAAAAAATTGGTAACAGGGAGCTAATTGTTCTTTTAGAAACTCTGGATATCTTTACTTAATAATTCTTTTGAACTTAAATTTAAAGCAGTGTGACTCTCCTTCAGTTGTGTTGACTTGTCAGAATTAGTTGACTTATCACAGTCTGTTTATAAGGCAATTTGGAATTGACATGAAATACTTAACTTGGACACCTTGGAAAAGTGATTATGAGCACAGAGTATTTTGTCATGGATTGGATGAGAAATGTAAGTAACAAGTAACTTTATTTTTGCATTCTTATTATTGCAATAAATGCTTAGCTCTCTGAAAGGTACACATTGAATTGAAAGCAGGGGACCAGTCTAGTAATATTTCAGTTCATTTTCCATTTTTAACTTCTGTGATAGTTTTTTTAAGCTTCTGTCTTAATTGATTAAAGTAAATCTTACATAATAGGGGGATAAAACACATGAGCGACAATAACTATTTTAAGTTTCCTGAACCATGTTTTAACTGGGAGATTACCCAAATGCCTAGTTTTCTTTTAGTCACAGAAAATTGCATCGAGCATGGCAATGTGGCTATTTCAAAATATTTAGAATTCTTACTCCCTGCTGCCCCATTATGTTGTATTCTCTTTCCTAAACCAGCAGCAAAAAAGATTGAAGATTTAAATGAAAACAGGTGAAATGTTTCCAATCTTGATAGACTTTCATTTTCTAAGCAGTGTTATTCTTTCCCAAGCCTGCAATTTGTGAATTGGTTTTCCACACTCCGTTTACCTAACAGGCTGTTGCTGGAATTTCTTCCAGGAAGATTGCATAGGATGGGAATTTTTTTTTTCCTGTTGTCTCCTAGAATATGAAAATAATACTTGAATTTCCAAACTTCTCCATACTCTTCTTATCTGAATTAAATGCCTTAAAAATAGCATTTACCTTTGCTGTTCTCCCTTTTCTGTCAAGAATCTTATGAAGAAATATGTTCAGCAAGTATTAATTTATTATTCTTTTTATGGTATTTATTTGAGCTTTCACACAAGCTATTTTCATATAGATTGCGATAGAATAAAGTGTCCAATTCTATTCTATTTTAGTTTCTTTGTCAAATATATATCGAAAGCTTTTTTATAATCTTAGTCTCTCCTCCATCAGGGCCCACATTTGTCCATCTCAATAAGCAAAACATTTCTTTATATTAGTTAGCAATCCAAAATCTAAACTAGTAATTCTTTTTTGAATTTGTGACAGAAATTATGAAAACTACTGGCTAACTGTTCAAAAATTTTTATCTGGCTATTTGCTCCAATTCAATTATTCTAGATGCTTTACAATATGAAATAAGGTAACTGAAATCAGTTTAATTCTTTAAATCTCATATAGGCAGATATTTGAAACGTTTTATATTCCTGTCACATTT